CGCAGAGAGACGCAGAGAGACGCAGAGAGGCGAAGAGACGCAGAGAGACGCAGAGAGACGCAGAGAGACTCAGAGAGGCGCAGAGAGGCGCAGAGAGACGCAGAGAGACGCAGAGAGACGCAGAGACGCAGAGAGGCGCAGAGAGGCAGAGAGGCGCAGAGAGGCAGAGAGGCGCAGAGAGGCAGAGAGACGCAGAGACGCAGAGAGATGCAGAGAGGCGCAGAGACGCAGAGAGACGCAGAGAGAGGCAGAGAGAGGCAGAGAGACGCAGAGAGAGGCAGAGACGCAGAGAGAGGCAGAGACGCAGAGAGACGCAGAGAGACGCAGAGAGGCGCAGAGAGACGCAGAGAGGCGCAGAGAGGCGCAGAGAGAGGCAGAGAGAGGCAGAGAGACGCAGAGAGAGGCAGAGACGCAGAGAGACGCAGAGACGCAGAGAGACGCAGAGAGACGCAGAGAGGCGCAGAGAGGCGCAGAGAGACGCAGAGAGACGCAGAGAGACGCAGAGACGCAGAGAGACGCAGAGAGACGCAGAGAGACGCAGAGAGACGCAGAGAGGCGCAGAGAGGCGCAGAGACGCAGAGAGAGGCAGAGAGGCGCAGAGACGCAGAGAGAGGCAGAGAGAGGCAGAGACGCAGAGAGACGCAGAGAGAGGCAGAGACGCAGAGACGCAGAGAGGCGCAGAGAGGCGCAGAGAGACGCAGAGAGACGCAGAGAGAGGCAGAGAGACGCAGAGAGACGCAGAGAGAGGCAGAGACGCAGAGAGACGCAGAGAGACGCAGAGACGCAGAGAGACGCAGAGAGAGGCAGAGAGAGGCAGAGACGCAGAGACGCAGAGAGGCGCAGAGAGATGCAGAGAGGCAGAGAGGCGCAGAGAGAGGCAGAGAGACGCAGAGAGACGCAGAGAGGCGCAGAGAGACGCAGAGAGACGCAGAGAGACGCAGAGAGGCGCAGAGAGGCGCAGAGAGGCGCAGAGAGGCAGAGAGACGCAGAGAGGCGCAGAGAGAGGCAGAGACGCAGAGAGAGGCAGAGAGAGGCAGAGACGCAGAGAGACGCAGAGAGACGCAGAGAGGCGCAGAGAGGCGCAGAGAGACGCAGAGAGACGCAGAGAGGCGCAGAGAGACGCAGAGAGACGCAGAGAGACGCAGAGAGGCGCAGAGACGCAGAGAGACGCAGAGAGACGCAGAGAAACGCAGAGAGAGGCAGAGAGAGGCAGAGAGGCGCAGAGAGGCGCAGAGAGAGGCAGAGACGCAGAGAGACGCAGAGAGACGCAGAGAGGCGCAGAGAGACGCAGAGAGAGGCAGAGACGCAGAGAGACGCAGAGAGGCGCAGAGACGAGATGGCAGGGTCTCTGATTGAGTTGTCATTTCAAATAGACAAAGTACTTCCAGGGTTAAACTACACTAGACTTATAATTACTGAATCAGCAACGTTGATTGGATTTGTCTGGACCAGGCACGTCAACCTGAGGCTCGTGGGCCAAATCCGTCCCGCAAGACCATTTTGAGTGGCCCCTACAATGATATTCAATGATTATTATGAACTTGCAGCAGTGATGGCTAAAGGCGACCGAGGCACATTACACATTATCTACTTTCTACGGAGAACAACCACATTTATTGTTAAAGTTTACCCCAATCACACATCATTAGAAGTTAAATAGTTACATATGTAACACTGTGCTTAACTTCTTATTTGGTCCAGTTTGGAGCTAAATCAGAAAAATCAACCATGAAGTAATAGTGAAACTCAGGTCACATAAAAGTCTTGCAGCACTGTATTTAAGTTCCTTTAAAGATCCAGCCTTCCATTTGGAAAATTCCCAGTTTCTTCATCATTTATCCCAATACATTCCCATTACCCATTAACTCCCATGGGGCGACAGTGGCTCAGTTGGTAGAGCATTGGCCTTCGAGCCTGAAGGTCGTGGGTTCAAGCCCACCATAAGACCTACTTCACGACTCCCACTGATGACTGCTGTCGTTGTGTCCTTGGGCAAGACACTTAACCCCACTTTGCCCAAAGCCCCCACTGAAAGATCTCAGCTCCTGTGGACTCAGCACCTGCAGGAGGATCAGTGAGGGGCTGGTGCTCTGTGGACTGGGAGCAGCAACACCCCCCGACCCAGAAATGGATTAAGGGGAAGAAGATGGATGGAAAGCTTCCATCCATCAGTCATGTCAAAATACCTTCTGTCAGTGTGCCCCAGGGCAGCTGTGGCTACAGTAGTAGTTTATCACCATCGTGTATGGAGAGAAATTATAATGAAATGTGAAACGTCTTTGAGTTTATAAAACCAATACATTATTATTATGATTAAAAAATACAATTATAACAAAAGACAATTCCTGCTGTTCTTTTGTCCCCTGACCGTTTCCAATTTTTTCTTTTCGGCCCTGACCAAAATGAGTTTAGACGTCCCCCCCCCCCCCCATCATAACCTCCAGCCCCCCTCCCTCCAAGCGTCCAGAGCCTCTCGCAGCAGGGTGTTATGGCTATGATCGGAAAGGCCCGGAGCTCTTCTGGAGGAGGCTGGTTCTCTGTGAAGGAAAACAGAATAATCCCGGGGCATCAGAGCCGTTTCTGAGCCGCTCTTTGGGGTCACCTCCAGCAGCAGTTTCTACACTTTATTTTTGTGCCGGTGGTTTTTCAGGTGGATTAGACGTTGGGGAGACATGTTGCTCCGGGCACATACATTCTTCTGTTTGGACTTTTTTGACTTCAGTGTGAGTTTGTTTATCTCAGTTCAATCATGACCTTATATGGTATTTACTCGTCCATATCAATAACAATATCACTATTTTGGTTTCATAGAGACCTTTTATGGACTCTCAGACGCTTCACATGCCATTATTCAGTCATTTATACACAGATGTGATGAATTGTTACCTTAGCCACAGCTGCCCTGGGGCACACTGACAGAAGCACCACCAACCATTCACACACACCAGACTCATTCTAATGTGAGTGAAGCGTCTTGCCTAAGGACACAGTCACAGTTTGGCACTTTACAGCCGCCCCACTGTGGCACCTGCTGTTCCCAGAGGTCTCCCATCACAGCACTAACCAGGCCCTGCCCTGCTTAGCTTGAGAGGTTTGATGGGATCTGGCTTTTACATACATTGTGTTGTTGCTGCTTGGGGTTAGCACTCTCGTTTCTCAGTTAGAAGGTTCGCTTTTTCAGCAGAATTCAC